ATGCTTTCTTCCCTGATTTCTTATTGAGAGCTGAAAATAGCTGTTGTGCCTCCAACATCTAAAGCCTTTTATTTATTTTTTTTTTTAAGATTTTATTTATTTATTTGACAGAGAGAGAGAGCACAAGCAGGGGGAGCAGCAGGCAGAGGGAAAGGGAGAAACAGGCTCCCCACTGAGCAAGGAGGTTCTGTCTCTTTGTCTCTTCAATCTTTGCCTTTCACCACAAACTCCACTGTTTAGAGAGTGCTCTTAGGCTAGAACTTCTCTACACTCTGTTGCAAATGAAGTCAGTTCCTCTGGGAAGAGAATAGGGCTATCTGCTTTACAGCCTGCTTCTTCCCCCCAGGCAAAATCTTCAAGCCGAGGCTTTAGAGTTGGTCCTGGGGTATGGGGGCGGGAATCAATGGCATGCTTCTCTCTGAGTGACTCCCCTACTCTAAAAGCTGAGCACCTGGAGTTAAAGCAAACATTAGCCTCAGATTTTTTTGCCTCTCTTAATGTGGAACCACTGCTTTATGAGGTGGGCTAAGGGTAATCAGAGCCTCTGTATTCTTAGGCATGCCACGCCCAAGGTAGAGTTGGGGCTAGGTGGAAGAAGGGAGCCCTACTTTTTGACTACACTCACCCAGGACTCAGCCCCAACAACAAGCAACTGGGAGCTACATGAGAAATACTGTCATCCTGGTCCCCCAAGAAGGTGGCCCTCTGGGAGCTGGGGGTAGGGGGAGCCCTGTGCTCTTGGCTACACCAGTCTGGAGTAGTTTTCATCTTGCTAAGCTAAGAACAGTATGGAAGCAGCACATCCTAGATCAAACATCATAGACTCTCACTATTCTTACTGAACTCTAGTAGATTTTTTGGAATAAATGTTTCTTTGTTTGCTGTATGCCCCTAGGACCATTTCCAGAGACTTTAAATAGTTGTCCTTTTATAGTTTTCACCAGTTTTCCTGGAGAGCATGCCCATAGAGCTCCTCATGCTATCATGTTGGAAGTGGATATCTGGACATTTCTTTATATGATCATAATGTCATTACTACACCTAACGAAATTAGTAATAATTCTTTGGTATCATTTAATGCCCATTTCATAACTTACCCAGTTTAGAGGTATCTGCTTTAATTAAAAAAATTTAAATCTGAGTAGGTGGCATTGGTTGGTGATCTAATAATAAGTAGTTGGAGTTCTTTACTATGGCATTCAGGGGTGTTTTACCCATAGTTTAAGAGTCACCCGTAGTTTAGAGGTTTGAGCTTGCTTTCATTCCTGTGAAATTCTGTTTGGTTTAAACCTTTGAATCAGAGAACATCAAAGGTGAATAAAATTGTCACTCAGAAAATTGTTTTTTTGTTTTTTTTAAGATTTTTATTTATTTATTTGAGAGAGAGAGAGCACAAGCAGAGAGAATTGGCAGAGGGAAAGGGAGAAGCAAGCTCCCCACTGAGCAGGGAGCCTGACATGGGGCTCTATCCCAGGACCCTGGTATTATGACCAGAGCCGAAGGTAGATGCTTAACCGACTGAGCCACCCAGGTGCCCCGAAAATTGTTTCTAAATAGTAGTTTAATTTTAAAGTTAATCAGTTAAAAAAAAAAAAAGGAAAACATCTATGATCGTATCTCAGTAGTAATCAGGGAAGTATAAACTAAAGGTAAGGGACTATTTTTCACATAAAAAATGTTGTGTTCAGTACTGGTAGAGGTAAAAACTTGTTCAACCTTTCTGAAAGGGAATTTGGGAGTAAAAAACCCGCAAAGGTATTTCCTTTTTTTACCCACTAATTTTCATCCTAAAATAAAGACATTCTTTATCTAATTTTCATTTTATAGTATTAGAATAACGGTTTATGAACCCCTTGGAATTCAGCAGAGATATTCACAGTAAATGTCCAAGGGTAAAGAAAGAATTCAGTATGATCCAATTTGGGAAAATAATCTGCAGGTAAGTATATGTAATATAAAGGAAAACCAGAAGGAAATGAACCAAAATGTTAATAATGGTTATTTTTGTAATCTTATAGTATTATAATCTACTTTATTTTTCAGATTTTCTATGAATTTTATTGTGAATTTTATGATCAGAAAAAAAATGTTAACATTTAGTTAAGAAAAGGAAAGCAATGGTGCGCCTGGGTGGCTCAGCCAGTTGAGCATCTGCCTTCGGCTTGGGTCATGATCCCAGGGTCCTGGGATCGAGCCCCGCATCGGGCTCCCTGCTCTGCAGGAAGCCTGCTTCTCCCTTTCCCACTCCCCCTGCTTGCGTTTCCTCTCTCACCGTGTCTCTTTCTGTCAAATAAATAAATAAAATCTTTAAAAAAAAAAAAAGAAAAGGAAAGCAAAATAGCAAGTTATATCTTGGTATTCCAAATCTCTGAAAGAAAAAAGTCACTCAGCTGAGCAAACACTGTCTCAGTTATCAAGAATAATTGCTGGGCGCCTGGGTGGCTCAGTTGGTTAAACGACTGCCTTCACCTCGGGTCATGATCCTGGAGTCCGGGGATCTAGTCCCACATCAGGCTCCCTGCTCAGCAGGGAGTCTGCTTCTCCCTCTGACCCTCCTCCCTCTCATGCTGTCTCTCATTCTCTCTCTCGCAAATAAATAAAATCTTAAAAAAAAAAAAAGAATAATTGCTCATTTTTCTTTTTTCCCAGCATTGCATCAGAGCCAAGAAAACTTTATGAAATGCCAAAATGTTCCAAATCAGAAAAAATAGAGGATGCATTATTATGGGAATGCCCAGTGGTAAGATTTGTTTTTAGAGTATTTGTTTCCAACACATTTTTAGCCTAAAAGAACTGATTATTGTTAATATAGGTAAAAAGGAATAAAGCTTAAATATCATAGTGATTCTTGACTCTTGAAAGGAGTCAAGAAGAGAGTATATTGCTTATTTTTCCTTGTGAAATAATTCCTATTTTTAAAAATTATACATTAATATTATGAATGTATTTTAAAAATTTGATACCATTTGTAAATCTTGAAAACTGGAAAAAGTTATGAACTGGTTAAAAGTTTTATAAACAATGTAAGCTAGTTTAGAGTTATTCTCAGTGTTTCAGAGATCATTCTGATTTAAGAGATCATTCTATCAAAATAAAATATTAATTTAGGCAACAGTTATGTTACATGGCTCTTTGAAAGTAAATTCTTGTTAGTTTTCTCCATGAATCTTGTTAGGAAAATAATAAGTCAAAAACAAAAAATAATAAAAATAATAAAAAATAAAATAATAGGCTAAACTCATTCCACGAGACAGACCAGCATTGCCCTGGTGTGTATTTTTCAGAAGACTGTTTTAATAAAATGATAACATCTTATACTTGCTAGAGGAGTTGGGAGAATTGAGTTGTAGACAAAATAAGTGGGATATTCTGAGCTTAAAAGGTGAAACATTTATTTATATAATTACTTCTTAGAGCCTTTAATAATACTATGCAATAATACTAATGTTCATGGTGATTTTGACAACCATATTTCAAAACTCTTTTGATCATAGGACTTCCTTTTTTGAGGTATATTTCTACATATTGGTTTTCCATGGATCAGTGTTTTAAGAACAGCACTTAGGAAATACTGCAGCAAATTAATCAGGTCTCTGAATCTGGCTGATTATTTTTTTAAGGAAAAATAGAACTTACAATATGGGACCAAAAATAATGTTTAAAGGATAAGAGGCTATGCTTTGAATTTACTATTAAAATTATTTCTCTCTCTTTTTAAATACTATTGTTTTTATATAAATTGTAGTTTTCCAGAGCCTTTGCTTTCTTTTTCCCTAGACACTTATTCTCTTTAAAAAGAGACACCTTTTTAAAAATCAGAAGCTTTAAATCTATGCTTTCTTCCCTGATTTCTTATTGAGAGCTGAAAATAGCTGTTGTGCCTCCAACATCTAAAGCCTTTTATTTATTTTTTTTTTTAAGATTTTAAATATTTATTTGAGAGAGTGAGAGAGAGAGAGAGAGCATGAGCCAGGGACGGGGCAGAGAAGCAGACTCCCCGCTGAGCAGGGAGCTGGACATGGGACTTGATCTTGATCCCAGGACTCTGGGATCATGACCTGAGCCAAAGGCAGACGCTTAACTGATTGTACCACCCAGGTGCCCTCTAAAGCCTTTTTTTTTTTAATAAGTATTTTCTTTCTTTCTTTCTTTCTTTCTTTCTTTCTTTCTTTCTTTCTTTCTTTCTTTCTTTTCTTTCTTTCCTTTTCTTTTCTTTTCTTTCTTTCATTTGTCAGAGAGAGAGAGAGCACAAGCAGGGGGAACAGAAGGCAGAGGGAGAGGGAGAAGCAGGCTCCCTACTGAGTAAGGAGCCCGATGCAGGGCTCCATCCCAGGATCCTGGGATCATGGCCTGAGCCGAAGGCAGATGCTTAACCGAGTGAGCCACCCAGGCATCCCTAAAGCCTTTTAATCCATTTTAATTTGGGGGGTGGGGTGGGGAGGAAGACAGATTTCTTAATTGAGAAAAGTTTTGAAGACCCCAGTACAAAATCACCAAAAATGTAAAGCAGTCCTTGCAAAAATAAAGTTTCTAGTAACCTAGTTCCTATTCTCACTTCTTTTACTATTTTCTTCTCATTTGAAGTTAAACAGGATTTTCCATTAAGAAGACTGAGAAGCATATATTGTTGTTAACATATTGATGTAAAACCACATTTAAATCAGCACCCTTGTTTTTCTGAGACAGTGTGTGAAATACAACTTTTGGTTTAGGAAAATAGCTCAAACCTATTACATGTGCTATTTCAAATTCTTTTTTAATAGGCAAGGTATAAATAGTATATTTTTTTAAATTAAGAATCTCCTTGGGGAGGGTATGTGCTATGCTGAGCGCTGTGAATTGTGTAAAACTATTGAATCACAGACCTGTACCTCTGAAACAAATAAAACATTATATATTAAAAAAAAAAAAAAAGAAGAAGAAGAAGAAGATACCAGGAGGGGATGAATGAAGGGGGGAATCGGAGGGGGAGATGAACCATGAGAGACTATGGACTCTGAAAAACAAACTGAGTGTTTTAGAGGGGAAGGGGATGGGAGGATGGGTTGCCTGGTGATGGGTATTAAAGAGGGCACGTTCTGCATGGAGCACTGGGTGTTATGCACAAACAATGAATCATGGAACACTACATC